CTGTGCCAGGGGAGGGTCAGGTTGGACATAAGGGAAAGTTTCTTCACAGAAAGGGTTGTCCAGGCCTGGCACAGCTGCCCAGGTGGAGTCCCCATCCCTGGAGGTGGCACTTGGGGGCAGGGTTGAGTGGTGGCCTTGGCAGTGGTGGGTGGACTTAATGATCTTAAAGGTCCTTTCCACTGGTTCTGTGATTCCATGAGGAGTATCAGCATCCAGTCTAACAGCAGATTGATCTGACCCAGCAGAGGCTGCTGGTTCTGCCCCCCCATGCCCTGGGCCAGCCCAGCTGCCTCTGCAGCAGCTCACAGAGCTGGATGGGCAGTACCACGACAGGGAAAAACCCCCAAAAGGACTAATTTCTGGCCAGAGCAGCTCATTAAACCACAATATCTCCCAATGGGCAAATACTAGAGCAATGTCAGAGGCAGAACCTCAGGGCTGCTGCCTCAGATCCCCCACGTTTATTGGAGCTGTTGGTGCCAGCACAGACAGTGGCAGACATCAGATGGCCCATCATCCCACCCAGCCACCCCTCCTTCCCATCATGGAAAGCCTTTTAGCTTTCTATAACCATAGAAACCATACTCCTATAACCACATTCCCTTCCACAGTAGAATATTCCACTCTTTGTGAAATATTTATACTTTGAAATATTAATTCTCCAATTAAAAAACCCAACAATCTGCAAACATGAAAGCTTTGGCTTGTTTGCTTCGCTGGTTAAATTGAGGTACAGAAGATACACAGAAGCAATAAATAGTAACTAGTCTGACTTGGAATTTTCATATTCCTCTGTATTTTGAAAAAAGAGTCATTTATTTCTTTGCTGCTTCATTTGGTCCAGAAAACACATCCCATTAAAAACACCCCTTCTCCCAGCCCCAAGTGTACAACTAGAGATATACCAATTTCCAAAAATACCAAACCCAGAAATAACTGCAGGACAAACCCAGCGTTTGGTTTGATGGATTTAAAAGATAAATAAAAAAAGATCAGAGTTAACTAATCCATCCCAATGAAGACATTTCCAAACTGCCCCCAGGCTGAAAAAGTCAGGCTGCAAGAACCTGCACAAAGAGCTCTCAGCAATAACCTTCACCAGCACGAGCTGACAGCTCCAGAGGAGCAGGATCAGCAGGTTCTGGAGCAGGGAATGCTCAAGCCTTCCTGTATAATGTTGGCTGAACAAAGGAGCTCCCAGAGCATCTCCTGCACAGCCACCACCTCCCACAGTGGTCCTGCTCTGCAGAACAGAGGGAATGGTCCTGCAGCTTTGGCACACTGGGAATTTGGGGGTTATCTGACGGGTTTGTCACCTCTCCCACACTCAGTCCCTTTGGGTGGATCTCCCAAGAACCCCCAACAAACTCCCTGCTGTTCCCCACAGTGCTGGGGCTCAGGGAAAGGAGCCCCTTTCCTTGCTCATCCAACAGCTGTTGCAACACAAGAGACAATAACTCAGAACAACCACTAATAAAAAGATTTACAGTCCCCCAAACCACTCTGAACATTCACTGTGATCTTGGAGAGAGGGTTTCATGGCTCTTTAACTTACAGCCATTCTCTGGACAGTGCTGTTACCAGTGGGACAGGCCCCAAACAGAGCAGGCTTTGCTTTTGTCATTCTCAAAGCCTTGAACAGTTTCTGGGTTGGATGTGGATCTATCAGAACACTCACGAAAGACCTCAGGAAAATCCATTCTTCATTAATAGGATGAAATGTTTGCTCTAAGAGAGGTCATCAACCTCTCCTCCTCCTACTTATTTGCAGATTTCAAGGTTCCAACACCTTAAACAGCCCAGGGCTGGGAAAAACTTGCCTTTTCCTTTGTGAAACGTTCTCTGAGCTTTGCAACTTGTGGTCAAAAGCTATCAACTGATTAAATGCCTTCATTTCATCCTTAACCATTCCTGGTCAAAGTGAGTGTGATTCCAGCTTAGGCTGGCAGGGTCCAGAGCTGCAGTGCTGGAAATGAAGCTGGCTTGGATGGAAGCACAGCCCTGGGAAGCCCAGGAAACAGTTCTGACTCACCTCCTGCACAGGAGATCTGACAAGGTAATAAACAACCAGGGAGCACTCTGGAAAACAGGAAAATTCCATGGCTGTAGCCTAGAGCTGGGAGAGAGGGCAGTGAGCCATGGGGTGCTGGGGCTGGAAAAACAGTGCAGGGAGGTACCACCACACACTCATCCTGCTCAGGGGCTGCCCTGTAAGCACTTGGTGGTGACCAACGTGGGAAATAGAGTGCAAGGTTAAAGGGGTGTCTGAATCAACTCAGAGCAGTTGGTTTTATGTGCTTAATCTTGAGCCTCCTCCAGCTTTGTGATTCCAGCAAACTGCTCTGGATCATAAACAGTTTATGTTTTGGGTGCTTCCCAACCCAGCCAGGCACAGGCAGTTCTTAAATAAAAAGCACAAAATCCACATTCTTCTTGCAAACAGTGACAGGGAGGTGATCAGAGCCCCACAGTGCTCTGCCCACCAGGACAGCACAAACATCTCAGGGCCTCAATCTGCATTTAGTACCCCAGACCATCCAGCCTGCAAAGGAGGTTGGAAGCCAGAGAGGGGCCCTTTGTCAGGGACTGTAGTGATAGGACAAGGAGTGATGGGCACAGCTTGAAAGAAGGGGAATTTAGGTTAGATATTAGGATGAAATTTTTTCCTGTGAGGGTGGGGAGGCCCTGGCACAGGTTGCCCAGAGAAGCTGTGGCTGCCCCATCCCTGGAAGTGCCCAAGGCC